ATAAAAATATTTTTTTATATTTGAAAATTTTTACAGTAAACTGTGAAGAAATTTGTTTTTTATTGAAGTGTTTAAAAGTTTATTTGAAATATAAAAGGTAATTGTTATGCATTGGGGAAATGAAATTTTTTTTTATTAATTTTTACTTGCTGTTTTTTCTTTCATGTGTTTCGTTTTTTTTTTTTCTTGTTGCCCTATGAGAAAATTTTTTAAATTGATTTAAAGATTTATTTTGAAAAGTTCATTGAAATTTTCGAATGAATCGTTTATATTTAGTATTCGCATTATTGATGTTAAGACGGGCGATAAAAATAAATCTACAAAAAAAAACACAAAATTTAGAGTAAAGAAAAAAATTTAGAAATATTTGGAAGCTTTCTTAATTTATAAATTTTCGCATTTAATCAAATTTAAAACAATAATATAAATAATAATGAAATTTTTGATTTGTTACAAACGAAATTTATTTAATCAAAATTTTAACACGTTTAAAAGGGGGGCTCGTCCGTTTATTTATGTATATGAAATTATTCGAATCGCGTGATTATCCAATTTTTTTTTTTATTTAATAAAATTATACACGCGTATATGCATATACTCATATATATACGTATATATTTTATGCTTGTATAATATAGATGAGTAGAGCATATTATGTAGAATTATATTATAAGTGTAGTATGTATGTATGTATACACATACATGTAGTATGCATACACCTAAATATGACATATAAAATAAATGGCCGCATGGTAATAAGGTGGCAAATAAATCTTATGTCTCTGAAATAAATAAAATAATTTATTTTTATTATACATACATATTTCTATGACATGTAGATATTTAAATTTTACGATTTCATAAAAATTTTGTTAAACATAAATTAAAAATTAAAACTTTGAATATGATTGACCGTTTTTCAAAATTTTATCGGAACAGCACCTTGATTTACTTGTAATGAAACATATAAGTGCATAATTTTGTTTAATATTTTTAGCATTAAATAATCCTTTGACAGTATGAAGAACTTTGATCAGAGGGGTTTTTTTTCACTAACTTGTTGAGATTTGTAACGGATTCTAATTCCATATAGTTTAAGTTTTTGTGTAAAGATGTTCACTGAGTATTCACCATGTAGTTAATTTCTCTCTACTTATAATAAGATCCATATCATTAATAAAAAATTACTAGATACTTTCCTAAATTATAATCACGAAAAATTGTAAACTGATTGGATTGGGTAAACTTTTTTGCTAAAAATTGTCAATGACGCAAATGAATTTTCTCGATTTAATTAATCTAACATGTTGTGTCAAACATATTTTTTGTACTGTTGTATAATAATATTTATCTTTCGACATTAAGTGTTTTTGAATTGTTCTAAAACAATTTTTGTACTCTCTCTAAAATAAAATAATTTTTAGATCTCGTAAAACTTTTGAAGTAAATAAATATATTTAATTGTATAAATACTTTCAAAAACTGTTATGCATAGGTTCTATGCATGTAAGTAATTTTGACTTCTGATATTGCATGCTTTATATTTTTATGGAATTTTTTGATTTCTAAATCAAAATAAAGCTTTATTCTATTTGGCATTGATTGATTGAATTTTTGTTTTTCAAATAAAATTGATCGGATTCATTATTATTTTATTTCATTTTAATAAAGCACCAATTAAATTTTGCTTAAATTGCAAATAAGTTTTAATAATGTGTAAATAATTTATATTTACTCCTTACACAGAAAATTTTTGCTGATTATAAAATTAAGAATTGTTTACGATATTTTATTTATTTTGATATTTTCTAAATTGCAAAAAGTGTGTCAAGTTTTTTTTTTCGCTAAAAAAACTAATTAATACCAAAAATTATGCATACATATCATTATTTAAGTGCATTTTATAAGGTGCAGGGTAAAACAATTATGGCCCGCAGTGTTTATTTTTTTATTTAAAATTTAATAAATTATAAATTTTAAATACAATGTTGATTCATTCAACTTTTTTTGTATCTATTACAAATTTTATTTTGTATTAATATTTCAAATTTATTAAAATATTCACGTGATATATAATATCGGAAACAAAAAAAATTATTCATGCCTGCCTGTTCCGAAAATTACTTGTACTATTAAAAAAGAATTTTTAATGCAAATTATTATTTATTTAAATTTCATCAACTTAAATAATATTATGTTATGAAATAAACTTTATTCTTGTTGACAACAATATTATGAAAAGATTGCAATTATACAATTTTTAAACTTTGAATTTAACAGATTAACAATTTAATTAAAAATATGAGGGAAAATCCAATTTATTAATTATATATACACATATATTCATACATGTATATAATATTAACTTAATATACACATAAAAATTTTATGTTTACTTGTTTATTCAGCTGTTTTAACATTTTTTCTATTGCATACTAAAATCGTAGTGAATACCTATAATTATAATGTTTTTATAAACAGTCATAATTATTTTAAAATATTTAAAAAATTTGATAAACAACTAAAAAAAAAAATTGAACTATTTTCAGTATAAGTAAAATTACTTTTAATTTTTCATGTTAAATTATAGGTAACTATCGATTTAATTATTTAATTTGATTTTGTGAAATTGTATGTCGTAAATTTAAAACTATTACGCTATTATGGTGTAATTTGGAAAATTTTGAAAACTAACTTGGTTATCATTTTCGATTAACTATTATCAATTTTTTTTTACAAAGGTATTGATGTTGCGAATTAAAATGAAAAAATAACCGGTACAAGATGACGTACTTGTATTTCATTTACTAAAAATCCTATACGTTTACCTTAATATACCAAAATTATTATTTCTCATAAAGAAATAGCTCAGTTCAATCTCTTTTAAGATTCTAGATTTAATTTTAATATCATAAAACACAAGCAAGTTTGCATATGAACGTCATCTGTGTTGAGTACTCGTACTATCCATAATCAAAATCAATTGATCAAATATCCATAAACAAAAAAAAAATAAAAACAAAAACTTGTTTGCCAACAATATTTATGCTAATTTTTTTTAAATAAAATATTTTATTAAAATTGTTTTAAAATTTTTTTTTTGTGTTTTTTAAATGATTCATAATTTTTTATGTGTATGTACATATGTATATACATAATATTGATATTAAATATAAGATATTGGTACTCGTAAAATACAGATGTGGCAAAAATTTTATGGCGAAACTTAGAGTTTCTCCACTCTTATACGACAACGATTATTAAATGAATACTAATTAGGGAATTTTGTATGTCAATATCAAAAATTTGGTAAAATTTTTAATTAAATTTGTTGTTGAACAGGTCTTGTTGTTGTGGCAAGTATTTATTACGTTGTTAAAGTGTAATTACTTTCGTAACAGCAATTACTTTCGTAATGCATTAACCGACTTAGTATGATTATTGCCTGTTATCAATTCAAGTATATTTTTTTCTAATAATAAACAGTGCATGTATTTTATATACTTAGATGATAATTTTTTAAATGTATTCGCTTTCTTTATTTCAAAATCTTTGATTTCGGATTAATTTTAATTTAATTGAATTAAAAATTAAGGAATACTGTAAAAGTTTCGTTTAAGAGAGAGAAAAAAATTATTAATATAGGTTTTAAAATTTTTAAAATTGGCTGCCGGCAATATCAAATTTTCTTCAGAAACTTCTTTGAAATATAGTTATAAGGGAAATCTTTATTTTGTATCGAAACTGTGAAAAATCTGTTGAAATGGAGCTGTCTTGTATTAGGATTTACTCAGATTCATCTTTACCTGTATATACGAACTCGATATACTCAGTCATATACTAAAACTCGATTTTGTTCAATTAAATACAGAATTGTTATAATTACATTCCTAATTTTTCTTTTTTAAATTTAATCAAAATTTATAGTCTTACATTTTGATCTTTATTATTAATAAAAACTATAAAATTAAATATTGTAATAAAATTTAAAATGTAATTAATTTTAATAATAAATATATATATGTATGTAAAGGTATACATTTAATGTTGTCATTCAAATAAAGCTTTTTGAATTGGATGATCGCAATCTTTTTATAAATTTAATTAATTAATATTCGGTAGGAATCCCCTTCTTATTAAATGTACTTATTGGCACAAAATTAATTGTAATTATATGACAAATAATTATTACTAAAAATGTTATTTTGGGATTTTTATTGCATACATAATGTTTAACAAAAATGTTATATAGAATTTATAATTAAATTAATTTTAAATATGTATTTCAAATTTATTAATTGACACAGCAATGATATGTTGTCTGTTGAAAATTAAAAATGAATTAAAAGTAGGTATACTTATATTTAATAATTATTCAATTTATATAAGTTGTTGAATTTGACAAGAAAAATTTAATAATAACTTAATACGTGGAATACAATAAAGATGAATCGAATAATATTAAGAACAAAACCTCATTGATATGAAAATTTCATATAGGTTTTGTTATAATTGTAATGTTGAATGTAAAATATTGAAGGTATTGCATCAAATAATTTATTTGTAAAAATTATAAATTTTATTAAGACCTGGAATCCAATTAGATCTCAATTAGAATACCAGTAATCTATATATATATTATAAATTTAACTGAAAAATATACATACATATGTTATATATATTAGAGAATTTTGTTAAGGACTGGAACCAAATCGATATATTTACATACATATTTAAAATTAATTTATATTTTAAATTTTTAATCTATATCACAAAAGCTCATCCGATTAAAGTATTCTAAAGGCACCATATATACAACATCACAATATAATAAATTCATTCACATCAACTCTATATAATTAATCTTCCTTGTACGAGTATATACCAGTAATCTATATATGATTAAAAATTCTTATCATCTAATTCAAATTGATTTATTGACAGTATTAAGACAATATTAATATCTGATATAGTAAATTACGTTTTCTTTTTCAACTTACCTTTGTAACTTATCAGGTAATTTGAATTATGTATATTTTCTAAAAACAATAAAAAAGCTTTTTACTTTTTACTTATAACCCTATGTAAATTTCTTATTATTTAATTTGTAAATTTTATTTTGACATACTCTTTAAAAAAATTTTAAATAACTTTAAAATCTTAATTTTCAAATATCACAATTCAATCTTTCCGATATTTAATGACTAACAATTTAATTACTTATGTATATAAAGAGGCTCTTTGCCAAAAAAAAAAAAATTAACAAATTAAAACGATTATTGCCTTTAAAAAACAAAAAATTATTGCGGCAAAAAAAAATTAATTTTTAAATTAAAAATAATTTTTTAATTAACTGTTCTTATTTTTTGTAAAAGCTGAATCAATAATAAATGTTATTATATTTATTTTATATTGCAACAAATAAAAAATTAATCCCACAATTTATAAAACGAAATTTGAAAGACACGCTAATTATGTAAAAAAAAAAATAAAAAAGTAAAAACAATTAAAATAAGAAATAAAAATTGCACATGGGAAAAAAATTTTTTTGGCGTAAACTTTTTTATATTTTTCGAACAATCCGCTCGAATGTTTAACTTTTTACTTCCAAAATACTACTAATTTTTACAGTCAATCTGTTTTGAACTTTGCTGTATAAACGAAAACGATTAGATGGCACAGCTCTTTAATATAAGATCGTGTACATTAAATGTGTGAATAAATGTGATTAACTATATATGTATACATATACATAAATATACTATACCGTTGAATATTGCTGATTTATTCAAAATAGTGTTGCCGATTTTATTTATTAAATATGATCAGAATTTTTTATTTTATTTTCATCGCTTGATTTTGTGATCTTATATTTTGAAAGTGGATATTTAAATAATAAAAGTGATGAAATTTATAAAACACATTCTATTTTAAAATTTTACACAAATGAAATTATGTTATTCATTTGTTGCCAGACTATTGTCATTTTATAAAAATAAGAATATCTCCTAATCAATAGATATTTTATAGTTTAAATCCCAAATCATTCAATTTTTAATTTTTGTTTTTGAATTTTCTGTAAATTTAAAATTAATTGTTTTTTAAATAAATATTTAAATTTTACATCACTTTGATTTATGATGATTAGCTATTTATTTTTTTTTATTTTTCTTAATTTTTTTAATTAGCGCATTAGTGGCCTGCTTCTAAAAATGGCATTTCAAGTAAATTACGATTGAAATGTTAAATATTTAAAGGGCAAAAATAGATTTATGTCAAAATAGAGTGAAAAGAGGAGTAAACTAAGTATTTTGAAAATATAGAAAAATACTTTAGGCCATTACAGCTCCAACATATTGAACATACAAACTCATTTTTGCAAAAATGTTAGCTAGGCTACTAATTCGCTAAGCGCATCATATATATGAAGTTTATTATTTTTATTTTCATTATTAATATTATACAATAGATTAGAATACAATAGAATATGTATTAATATGTATATGTGCGTATAGGTTCCTATAATACCAATAAGGTGCAGGAATATTTTTAATTTTGAATTATTTACTTATTTTTATAAAAAAAATTGGAAATTGAATATTGTTATATATATACATTTATTGATCCTACATATAATATAATAGAGTTGCTCATAATTAATGAAAATTTCATACTCATAAAATTTTTTTTTTCCAATTAATAAACGGTAACACTGAAACTATTTTATACTTAATATCATCATATTTTCTCTTTTGAAAGTTAAGTCAGACAAAAAACAAAAATAAAAAATTTAATGATGATCTTAGAGAAAAAAACAAGATGAAAAAAAAATAAAATGAAAATGGTTAGAAGAATTGAAGATTTAAGCTGAACCCATTAATCAATAACCGCTTTTAGCTGTTAAATTCAAAATTTAATTCTTTAATTATCTACACTGATTTCCATATTGTAAATTCATATACTTAGTAATTGTACATGAATTTTGTGTATCACTAAATATTATTCAACAAAAACTGGTAATTTAGTCTTTATTGCTTGCCAAATTTGTGCTTAAAATGTCATCCGTATGATGCTTACGCATAGAATCAGACGTAATAAAAAAGATTGGGAAAACCGCAACCGGAGATCCAAAAAAATTCTTATTTTTTCTTTTGTGATATTTTACTCTTCTTCTCTCTTCTTTTTGTAAAATACCAGAATTTTTTTTTATTTCAATTTTCTTCATTTTTATCATATCTCCTTTGACAATCTTTTGTTTTAAATTTTAATACATATACCTACCTCGAATAATTTATAAAAATTGCTAATACTTTAAAAACTTTACCGTTACATCAATAACAATTTTTAAAATTGCATATATTTAGGAGAACGTAAATGAGAAAATCTTTTTTGAAGGATTTTTTTTTTAAATCAAAGGGAAATTTTTTTTTCTATAATCTTTTTGTAATATTATTTCCTAATTAACAATGTTAATAAAAATCTATTAAGATTTCATCAGGATACCTACAATAAATTCAATAAAAAATAATAAAAAGAAAATAATTGTAAAAATTGTGTAAGTGATTAGTTATTGTTAATTATAATTTGCAAAGTGATTCATCGAATCCTACAAATACATTTTTACTTTTTCTTATTTTTTGTTTATGAATAGATTTTTAATAAGGATATTATTGTCTAGACAAAATTATTTCCTTGTCTGCCATCCTTAATCACACGTGAGTCGTATACAACGCAATTAATCAATAAAGAAAATTTCTTAGAATATATTTTGAAAAAAGTATTTTTTTTTAGCCTTTGTTTTTTTTAAGAAGTTATAATTGAAGGTAGATTATGGTGTTTTCAAAAATTGTGAAATTGAAACGCAAAAAATAGATTCTAGAAAAATTTTACAAACTGTATTTTTGCAAATGCTCGGATCAATGACAAATATTTATTGCCATAATATCTGTTCTCTTTCTGAGGGACACCCCGATTACTCTTGATCAAACCCTAAGTTTCTGATAAAATCTTGAAGTGTACATTTACCACTTTGATGAATTCGAGCAATTTGTATGTATGGCTCTGCAAATAGTAATTAAGATGCCTGGGGTATTTCATGCAAGTGAGAAATCAACATTTACGCAGAAACTAAAACTTAAAAGATGCATTCTACAATCAAAAGATGTATATTCTAGCACAGAATATTGTTATTTGAAAAATAAGACAAAAAAATTTAGTTAAATATTTGATTGTTACTTTCGACCTCATATTAAAAGAAGAATTGTAAACCTCTGCACACATGCATAGGGCATTTTTGACAAATTTTAATATTATCAAGTAGTGCTAGTGATTCTTGTTCTATAACCACATTCCCATACTGCAATTTTAAAGCAAAGTAATATTTTTCGAAAAATTTTACAATTTGAAAACATTAATTAAGATTTTTTCAACGTAAACTTACCTTAATAACACTAAAAGTTCATTGTTAAAATAATGGTGAATGCATTTTCTGTATTATTCTTAATAACTACAATATACATAAATTTTTTGATTATTTTAAATGAATATAAACAATAACACTAGTTGACTAATACAATATTTCCATTTAAATATATATATGTATGTATATATGTATAAAATATATTTTAATAAATATAAACGCAGAGACAAAAAAAAATTAGGTTCTCAGACCTTTAGTGCATATTATTTATAATGGTTCAACAGTTATTTGTGATGCACTTTAATACAACATTCAAATTTACTTGTTTATATTTTATTGTGTGTGTGTGTAATAAAAAAAAAATAAAAGCAAAAAGAAAAAAACAAAAAAACTGTGCACAGGTATTAAAATAATAAAAGATTTTCACCTGTAATTGTAAACCAATACTTGTATTTTAAATAAATGAGTAACAAAAATAAAAAAAAAAAATCAGAAAGAGAGAGGAAGAGAATAAGAAACAGAAAAAAAAGAGAATATTATGAAAATTAACGTTTAATTTTGTAGAGATTGAAAAGTAAAGAAAAATAACGTTTTGTTTTTAAAGCCGTGTTTTTTGTTTGTTTTTTTTTGTTTTTTTTTACTGATTTTGTGTAAATATACGAGTATGTTCGTTGTTCATCAATGTGTGGTTTTTGAATGGCGGTACACAGATTGTGTGGTGGTAATTGTTGGAGATTTTCTGGTCGTCGTACGTTGCTCATCACAGGTTAATTTTTATTTTTATGTTTTTAACTTTTCTTTAGTAGTATTGTTCACTTGTTTAATGTGGTAAGTTCGAAATTTCCAAGTTTTTAAAAGTTCGGAACTATTTTATTAGTTTTTTTTTTCTGAAATATTTTTTTGTGTTTTTTTTTTTTTTTTGCTGTTATTTTTTACATTCAATAATTTAATTAAGAAGAAAAAAAAATTTTTTTTTTTTTTTTGGAAGTTACAAAAATTGTGATATTTTAATTATTTGCAAATATTTAAAAGAATTTTCTTAAAAAAGAATAAATAATATATAAAAAAAAAAAGATTCCATAAAAATAATGAAAATTATTTGAAGAAATAAAAAAAAGCAAAAATAAAATTAATTAGTGCAGAAAATTTAAGGAAGTTTTTGTTGTTCTTTTAAAAATTAATTGAATTGCGTTTTTCTTAATATTCAATATACATACATACATACATACATATACATTATGTATTAAGACGTTCAATAATTTAGTTTCCAATGGATTTGATCGAAAAAGAAGAAAAACGAAAAAAAAGAAACGAAAATTTTAAAAAAAGAATTGTGTAAAAATTTTTTTATTGGGATGGAGTGAAAAAAAAACAAAACAAATCAAATATGGATTAAAAAGTTCTTAATGAGCAATTAAAAAAAAAAGTATGTAAGTTGAAATATAATTTATTAAATTAAGTTAAATTTAAGTTTTAAAAAATATTTTATTCCCTAATTTTTAAGAGAAATATCAAGCAATTTTTAAGAAAATTAAACGGAAGAGAAATTAAACGGAAATTATTAACTTAATTTTGTTATCTTTGATATGAAAACTGGAGTTTTTGACATGTAGAAAAATTCAAATATTGGCCTGCAATTATGCTAAATGACTTGAATTTTTTCCATCTACTTATTTTTTAGAGAAAATATTAAATTTTAATTTTATATTGTTCCCCAAAAACAATACAAAAATATGGTTGTAATTGTATGTAAGCGACTCTTTTCTTTTAATATTAGCGCATTGCAATAACATTTAATTATTGATTTGTGTTCTACTAGTTAACTACTTATATAGTTATTTTTCTAATTCTATGTGTTTGTTTTGACAAAACTAATTAATTTGATATTTTTAGTATTTTGTCGTTCCTTATTTATTTTCCTGCAACTAAAAATTTTACGTGTATTACATCCCATTTTGTGTGATTTTTATTACATAAACTCTGTATTGATAATAGTATGTTAGTTTAGTAATAAATTCTATTAAACGTATAATTCTTTATTTTATATACATACATACATTATATTTTGTTTATATATTATACATTCACTTTAATATTAAATATTAAAGTTATATGGTAAATAAAAATTTTATTTTGTATGAAACGTTAATCTTACCAATGATATTCATTTGTACTACTTTAGTAAAATATTTTTTCATATTTCTATTTCCTATACATCAAATTATATAATATAAAATATGGCAAGTACTTTAAAATGAATGAAATCCTTAAATTTTAGTTGAAAAAAGTTATAAACTATCGAGTTTACATAAATTTATAGAATCGAATGGATGTAATAAGAAACGATAAAAACAAAAAAGAAAAAAAAAAGGTCAAGACCCTTAAACAGACTAAAAGAGAGCAAATGTAAAACAAAAAAAAAAAGTAAACTAGGTATGCAATATTATTTTTGTACATAATTATTTTATGTTTTTCTTTAAAGAAAATTGGATATAATTAATAAAAAATCAATTTGGATTTGAATTAAAATAAAATTATATACAAATAATAATAAAAGAGGCAAATAAAAACTTCACAACATGGTGTACATATTTGATGGCCTTCTAGAAATTGTATTATTTAGTATTTTGTTATAAAAATTTATTTTCATTTATAAGAGGTTTAAGTACAACAGTTTTTTATGGAATGTCAGCAAAAAATTTTAATATCAATGCAGTTATGTGTACATTAATAGTCACATATGTATATATATGTATATAATTATTTTTTTTCAAATTCAGTACATACATAAATTTATATACGAAAATAGCTATAAGTCTTATTTCAAAAGCATTGCTATCTATTGTATATATTTTACATAACTGAATGAAATTATTTTCTATAAAATTTGCAAAAAAAAAAAAAAAAAATAAGAATATTTTTGCGCCTTTTAAGTTTTTGTTTTTTAACGCATATTTGTAGAAGTAAACTGATTCCACTTTTTATGGAAATTAAAATAATGGTATTTTAGAATTCTTCACAACATTTTCTCGCTTTCTTCAAATTGTTTTTAGACAACTTATTCAAAATTATTACTAAATTAATTTTAAAAGATATTTTATGTGATTAAACTATTACTTAAATTTTGTTTTCTTATTAACGCAATAAGCAATATAAGTAATTTTATTTTCAATATTGTACTAAATTATAATCATTTGCAAATTATTAACTTTTTTTAAATTATCGCTATATTTTTTAAGCTCTTTGTAATGTTTATACTTAATAGAAATAATAATTTTAAATTAATCTTGATTTGTATAATTTAGTTATTTGTCTTTTCTATAAAGCGAAAAATTGTTATGTAAATCACTTACATGTAAAGTCAATTTAATTATATAATATTTATTACCTAAGAGTAATTTTAAATAAGTTAAGAATAGAATTTCCATTCATTTTTTCTATACGACAAATCACTGTAATTATATAAATAATTGTAAAAGAACGGAGAACCATGGGAAGTAATCAAGAAAATTGCCTTAATTAATGCTTTAATAGTTAAAATTATTTATAAAACGTAACTTTCCAAAGTATAGTGATTCTTTTTTTTTTTTGAATTACCATATTCATTATGGACCTAGATATGAAAGAAATTATTTTTTAAAAAGTTCAAATGTCAAATTTTATTTGTTTTGCTAAACCATCTTAAAAATTCGCTGAACTGAGCGCATTTGAAAACCAAAAAAAAAAAATTTAATCCACCTTTTTTTTTCTCTTATACATATACATATATACCATTTAAGATTTGTCAATTTTTAATTAAAAACAAAAATTCTTTAATAGTGTAAACATTGCAAAATAATAACAAATTGCTGATGTCATTAAAACCGATAAATAGTAATAATAATTATATTCATATATTTCATAATATAAATATTATATCGGTATATTATACATGCATACGTACATACGAGTATAGGGTTATGAATATGAATATTTATATAAGTGTTATACAAGAATCAAACATTAATTATAAAAGATAATTATAAAAATTTTGTATGTTCATAAAATAAGAGTGATGGTGTTTAATTAATAATAGTGTACACTTTATATTGTATATAGATGCAAATGTATACATTGTGTATATAAAACGAATTTATGTAATAAAAATTGAACGCGTATAACAAAATTAGAAAATAAAGTTAAATTATAAAAGTTTATGTTTTCATACCAAACATTAAAAAAAAATATTTTTCATCTTCATTTTTATTAAGTAAAATCAATCGTTTTCGAATATTAAAGTTTAGTAATTTGGTGGAATTCCGATTTAATGAATAATTTCAAAAAAAAAATACCTAAACGTAGATTGCGAATGAAATATTCTTTTCGAATGAAAAATTCCTCAGTTATACTGATATACGTAAAAATTTTTGTTTATTATGTAAGTATGTCTGTATGTAATTTTATATTTTTTAAATTTTGATTTTATGTTTAAAGAATTTTGATAATTTTATTTTTTTTTTTGTTAATTTTTTTTTAGCTTACCTTTTATCTACATTATTTTGTACTTACATACATATACACTTCATTAAATGAATTTTATATTTGCACACGTTCAGATGATTGTGTACAAATATAAGTACAAAATTGTATATACATACAATCATACTTATTTTCATATATTGAGTAATTGAATTGTTGATAAAATAACATTGATAATTATCTTTGTTTTGTTTTAGATATACATAGATTCATACATACTTATAGATACTTATAGATTTCGTGCTTAGAAATTCAAAAAAAAAAAAAAATAACTAAAATTTTTAATTTAAAAAAATAGTTTTATGAATATTTTCTGTGTATATGCATATGGTTATGTTTATAAATATGTGTAACTTTTATATTGCTTTCCGAATGAAAATAATAAATGAAAATCATACAAACTATTTTTATAACATTGTTTTTTTTTTTGTTTTTATAATTATTATTTAACTTTAAATTCAATTTAATATGCATAAATTTTGTAAATAATTATAAATGAATTATAATTTTAATATTTTAATAATTAAATACAAAATTAAGAATTCAAGTATAGCTATTACTATACTTAGAAATTCGCTATGACGAGTAGGAAGAGGAGACGTTGGTTTATTTTCTGTGCTCATGTCCAGCTTTGGCATGAAGAAAGCGGAGGCTCTTTGGACCGCATTTCTTTTTCCAAATTATGGACCTGCCGAATGTAAATGCAAGGAACCTAAATCGATTTATAAAGGACTTGAGCTGGTTCACGTGAGGATGGAGACATGGAGATCCTCTGATTGTATGATGGCCGCGACAACCTAATTAGGTTTAGGTTGACCTATGAAATTTAAGAGCAATTTTAATATTTTAAATTTGCATATTAATAAGATATAAATTATATAAAATAATTAACGTATGTATAAGTATATATGAGCTAAAGGAATTTAAATTGTAATTTTATATAGGTTTACGTTAATATTTTTGTATTAATATTAGATTACATTCAATTTAAATATTAGAATAATATTTTTGAATATAGTTAATCATACATTTAGTTTTCATTAATAATTCATAACAGTTGTAAACTGTTTTGTAGTATAAGTTGGTTGGTTAGCGATTCCATTGCAATTCTAGAATTCACATTGCAATGTAGAATATTCTCAGCAAATACGCATATTTTTTTCTCTTTGTTGGGCAAAAGCAAAACAAAAAAAAGTATTTGTGTAATAAAACAATTGCCAATTTATTCCCTCCCGTATTTTGTTTCGCGCAAAACTCGAGAAAATACTTGATGGCCAAATTTATATTTTTGATCATTTGGTAGTTTTATCTCCTATGAAAGAACCATTACTAAGGATATACTCTTAAAATTTTTTGAATCAAATCTAATACAAAAAATTTCTCTTTAATTTTTTTAAATTTTATATTTTCATTTAATTTGCATTTAGATGAACTGTATTCTTTACCTAGTATAGTTATTCCTTTAATTTTCAACTGTTTGTCTTCAAATGAAAATGACGTACCGCAGGCTTCCAGAACCAGTTCCACAATATAGAAATATGGCAGAACTTAGAGATCCATAATTTCTGAAAAATATAAAATCTTTTTACTAAATCAACATGAATATTTTTTTCCAGGAATTCGGTTAATCATGAGCTGCTTACATAATTTTTAATTTCAGTCTATAATTTTATCGATTTTTAGTCTTTTTTATATTGTATTTATTTATACTACATAAATACCAAAATGGCATCGAATTACTTTTAAAATTATATCGATGTTTTCAAAATAAAAATATACGATACTTTTATATTATAAATATTTACATTTCATCAACAGATAACAAAAAGGAATTTAAAAATTTTTTGCACATTCAAATTTGGTTTTTTATTGGATCTCTTTTACGTGATTTTTATTTCGATAAAATTTGTTAATAAAACTTATTGAAGTAAATATTTAAACTTTAAAATAACTTTTTATTTTTTTTTTGAGCAGAGAAACTGCTTTTTTTAATTAGTATCTTGAATTATACTCCAAACGAATTCTACAATTGAAATTGAAAGTAAATTAATTAACTTTTCTTTTTTGTTAATAAAATTCGTTTGAGTACTTTATTAATTTATTTTTGCGTGTATATATAAAAAAATTTAAATATACGTAGATAACTTACAATGGCAATAATGATCTTAATATTGTGAAAATTATAGCTTTCTCGAATAACTTCTTAACAATTTTTCCTATAAATATGCAATTTTAAAAAAAAAAATTCAATTTTTGATCGACAAATACAATGTTTTTATTAAACATACCTATGCATGTACTAGCTAACATATTCTGCGTTGAGATCTTTACCCCACATGATTATATGTACCAATATTTTTATTCATATTTAAAGATTTCGGTGACCTTAAAAACTAATCTATTTGACCATTGGTGCAGTGGTTATGGCACCGGTCCTTTATCCGAAGGGTCTCGGGTTCAAACCCCGGTCAGGTCACTATAAAAATTATATTCAATATTATTATAACTTAATATACAATACTAATAAATATTATACAAGTAATTTTCAAATATTCATAATATTCGATATTAAAAAAAAACTGAGAAAAATAAACAGTAAATATTAATAACCTCAAATAATTGTAATATAAATAAAACTACGGCCAGGCTAGTCACCTACCTAGTTAACTGTATGACGCTATGAAACTAGTGCATGATATCATCCTATGCTCCTTCTAGGAGTGAATAAGGGAAAAAAAAAAAGACTAATCTATTAAATATCAGTTACAAAAAATCTGCATGTTAGAACTAATCTGCATTGAACTATATTTAACAAATTTTTTTTCGAATACCTATTTTGAGACCTAAGGTCCAACAGCAATGGTTTAGATATTGCCTTGACCTTTCCAACATTACCCCGTTTATGACCATATTTGTCTTTCATAACAATATTTATATGCAGACCCATGTAATCCCGGATGAACGCATTCGGCTTTTAATTAACAAGTCGACAGGAAAGTAAAAACTTTCTCGCTAATGTTTTAAACTACCTTCATGGTAATCGGATGAATAATTTGTTAGTGAAGGGTGATCACATCACATTTTCTGAATTAGCCTATAAAGAGAATTGTAGCTTTATCTTTTTAACTGTACCGAAAATATATTTGTTTCTTTGCCAAAATCGAAGTTCAAAGCGTTTCTTTGTCAAAATCCAAGTTATTCTATTAATTTTAAGTATTGAAATACGGTATATATTAGACGCACAAGTCAATGATTTTGAATATTTTTTTAATATTCATTTTTACTCCAACCCAACAAAATGACAGTAAAATTTTTGTATGATTTTAGGAAAAAAACCTCATTTATTTATACTTTTGTTCGCATATATATACATATGTATATGTATATATATAAACATCCGTCCGTGCTTTCTACGCCCTTTTTTATTTAACGTTTTTACTAAATAACAAAACCATTAATATATTTAAAATAATATTTACAATTTGATATGGTGCAATGAATTTAATGTTTTTCAAACTAATTTTCATCTTAAATTTGTGTTCTTGCATTTGTATGTACATGCATACCTATACAAAACATAAAATACATAAATTCTATAATATTATTTATAAATTAAAAAAAAAAACTAGAAAATTTACTTAGTTAAATTCTTTGTAATGGGGGACATACCAGAGAAATAATATAACAAAAATAAAAAAATAAGAATATTAAAAACCAAAAATGACACGACACCTAATCTCATTTTATTGCGAGATGACTTTTCTTCTCTTTCTCTGTCATTTTATAATTCATACATACACAGCACTTGTCTACAAATAGTGTAAGTATATGTGTGTTTCTGATCTTCACTTACAGTTGTGATTGTATCTTACAAATAACATAAAATGTACATACAAGCTCAGTTTATTATTAACTGACAAAAAACAAAATTTACCCATATACTAATCTTACTGTTACCTTTTTCTGTTTACATACAGGTACATAATGTGCATTGACATCCAATATGTTATAAGTCAAAAATTATTTATAATTATGTTTTGAAATACTCAAACTTTTGTTTAAAAAAAATTTTTTTTTTTTTTAAACGTACAACTATAATAACAATGATTAGTTAATTTATCTGTGTATTTCTGTTTTTATCAAAATTTACTGGTTTTCTCTCTTTTTTTTTTTTAATAATTATGTCTCTGTCGCATGGGCGCGACTTAATTATAAAATTAAAAATATATATACAAAATATATAAGTATAGAAAATAATGTTTATTTTTAATTTTTTTCTTCTTCTCTATTTTTAGTGCAAACACATACACATACAACCGAAACAATATCACAGATTAAAAAAAAAAAAGGAATACATCAAAATAAATTTATAGAAAGTCGTATATATGGTATTTGTAAAAAGAGATTCGTTATTATTATATTTTCATTATTATTATTATTTTAAACGAATGGTCGAACTGAATGAAAGTTATAACAAGTTTTAAATACCAAGGGTAACCAACGATAGTGAAACTATATAAATGTTATTTATGACAGTTACGTATGCACCCCACGTTTTTAATTCAAACAGGTATAAAACAGGTACCTCGATTATATCAACGAACCGTGACTCAAAATAATATATGTACGTATAATAAATAATTTGTTTTCAAAAAATTTTAACTACCATCAAAATAAAAATATTAATCGCATGGAAATCCTCGTAAACGATAATAAATCACAACAACAGAAATCAAGAAGATCATCAAAATCAAGCTTAGGTATGATAGGCGGAGATGATCTTAAACCTTGCCTGCCTGATGATTACATAAATAGCCATAATTTTTTTCAAAGAACTGAAGAAATCGATAAAGAAATGTTAACAATGCTTTCAAATAATCAAGATATTGGACCACATAGAGAAATGGCTGTTGATTGTCCAGATTCATTTATAGCAAGTAATAAAGGCCCTCCGAGATATCCACCGCCGCGTCCTCCCCAGCAACAACAGTTACATTCACAATCCCAACAACAAATGAATCAAATACACCATACAAATAATCTTAATTATAATCAAACAAATAATAACGATTTATCAAAACCAGTTCCACCGCCCAGAGATCATTTACGTATGGAAAAAGATGGTAGAATGGTTAATCGTGCACCAGCACCCCAAGTACCAGATCGTAAAATTTTAAATAATCAGCAACAACCAATTGGACAAACAATTGATCAACCAACAATAGAACAATTGGATAGTATTAAAAAATATCAGGAGCAGTTACGTCGAAGACGTGAGGAAGAAGAGAGAATATCGCAACAAAATGAATTTTTGCAATCAAGTTTGAGAGGCTCAAAAAAGTTACGAGCTCTTTTGAAAGACAGTATAACTTCTTCTACAACAGCTGAATCACAGCATCAAACAGCAAATGAATTTATTGGGGTTGATAACGATGCATTTACTGATGATGAAGGTATTCAAAAAAAATTTACTGATTATGGTGAATTTGTTGCTGCACTAGAACGGCTTCAATCACAGCTTACTAAAAAAAATATGGCTTCATTAGCCGGCATCGTTACAACAGCACAGACTTTACTTTTAGATTCTGGTTTAGCTCATGCTTTATCTGTCCGCCAAGCAGTATTAGAACGTCGAAAGCCCTGTATAGCCAATCCCGTTAGTGCCAATGCTCAATCCCTAACAAAAGATGTAGTTGAATTATTAAGTCAGTCAAATTCAACAGCTGCCATTGAATTGGGTAATTTATTAATAAGTCATGAAATGGAAGGACTATTATCAGCACATGATAAAATAGCTTCTAACACTGAGTTTGGTGGTCAACTACCAAATGGAAATTACAAAAACTCAGCTGAAACCTTAAGTAATCAAACACAAAAAGAACACCAAATATCTAATCAACAAAATCAACCTCTACCAGCAATCCCATCACCTACTAAGAATTCTTCTTTAGCTGCCAATTCATCACGTATGATTAATAATAACATTTTAAAACGATCTGACAATCAGCAATTAAGCTCGCCATTCGGTATTTTAAGTGATGGTTCTAAAGATCATATACGGATTATTCAAATCGAAAAATCTGCCGAACCTTTAGGTGCCACAGTTCGTAACGAAGGTGAAGCCGTAGTTATTGGTCGAATAATTCGGGGTGGAGCAGCTGAAAAATCTGGCTTATTGCATGAAGGTGACGAAGTACTAGAAGTAAATGGTATTGAAATGCGTGGTAAGACAGTCAACGATGTTTGTACGTTACTCAGTTCAATGACTGGAACGTTGACGTTTTTAATAGTACCAGCTGGGATGATAGTACAGGCAGGGACAGGCCGTGAATCTGCAATATTACACGTTCGAGCGCATTTCGATTATGATCCAGAAGATGATTTATATATTCCATGTCGTGAATTAGGTATTAGTTTTCAGAAAGGCGACGTTTTACACGTAGTATCCCGCGAAGACCCAAATTGGTGGCAGGCGTATCGTGAAGGTGAAGAAGACCAAACTCTGGCCGGTTTAATACCGAGTCAATCTTTTCAATATCAAAGAGAAACATTCAAATTGGCAATTGCTGAAGAAGCTGGCTTATCAAGGCCAAAAAATAAGGACAAAGCTGCAACATTATTATGTGCACGAAAAGGGCGAAAGAAGAAAAACAAAGCAACATCGGAAGCTGGTTATCCATTATATGCTACAACAGCTCACGATGAGCAAGATGTCGAAGAAATACTCACATATGAAGAAGTGGGATTATACTATCCTCGTGCCACACATAAACGTCCAATTGTATTGATAGGGCCACCAAATATTGGAAGACATGAACTTGCTCAAAGGTTAATGTCAGATTTAGATCGTTTTTCTGCAGCTGTGCCGCATACTTCACGAATGCGTCGTGATGGTGAAATTGCAGGACAAGATTATCATTTTATAACAAGAGCTCAATTTGAGGCTGATATTTTAGCAAGAAGATTTGTTGAACATGGAGAATATGAAAAAGCGTATTATGGAACATCACTCGAAGCAATACGTACTGTGGTATCTAATGGTAAAATATGCGTTTTAAATTTACATCCACAAAGTTTAAAATTATTAAGAGCATCCGACTTAAAACCATATGTTGTTTTTGTTGCACCACCAAGCTTAGAAAAATTACGTCAAATGAAATTACGGAATGGTGAACCGGTAAAAGAAGAAAATTTAAGAGAAATTATTGCAACCGCACGTGATATGGAAGCTCGATGGGGTCATTTATTTGATATGATTATAATTAATAATGATACAGAAAGAGCTTATCATGAACTTTTAGCTGAAATAAATTCTTTAGAACGTGAACCACAATGGGTTCCTGCTAGTTGGATACGTTCAAATAAAAGAGATGAATAATTAAAATACATATAAAATAGGAAATAAATGGCAGGCGCAGGGAATTGATTTAACAATAATAACTCAAAGAAAAAAGAAAGAGGAAAAAAAATTACAAAATATAAAAATAAGGGTAATTCATGCATTGATTTAAATTAGTTTTGTAATTTAGAAAAATTTTTGCAAATGTAAGGAAAATTTTTTGAAAAAATAACAATAGCTATTATTTTATACATTATATACATTAATAATTTATTATAGAGAGTTCATTGGAGTTAATTTGTTTTACTTATAAAATATAGGTGAAGTTCATAATTTGAATGATTTGTACTTAATAATATGTGTATTTGATTTGTTTTTCATTACATTCCAATACATTTAAATAAATAAATTGTAAAATGTTACCAGCTATTATGAATTATCTTTATTAGTGATGTATAAGTTTAAAACGAAAAAATTATATAATTTTCAAATAGATTTATGAACAACAACAAAAAAAATGAGTGCTATAATAATTTTTTTTTTTAATGCTTAAAATATGAAAAATTAAAAAAATTTTTTTTTTCCTACATATTAATAGGTAAAACTGTTATTCATCTATCGTTCTTCCATATAACTCAATATTCGAATACCCTTAAAAATATTACATACATACTTACTTATATATATTTTTTCTAATGTTAATTAAATTTATAGAAAGATAGTCAGCAAAGCTATTATTGTTATAGTAATTAAGTACTACATATATTATTATTCGATATCTCAAAAAAAAAAAAAAAATGAAAGTGGAACTTTAAGTATATATTTAGATTTAATATATAAGAAAAAGCAATAATTCAATTTTTAGTTAATAAAATTATTAAAAATTGTTAAAACAAACAAAAAAAAAATATAAAATAAAATTAAAAAATTTAATTAAAAGATCCTGAAATATTTGAAACATATAGTAGTCACAATTATTATTATTATATAAAATATAACAGTTATATTATTATTATATAAATATTTGTACTTATACATATATAATACTATATTTATATTTATATATAAATGAATATGTTCGTATATCAAATAAGTAAATAAGAATTTAAATTAGTAAAAATAAAATAAAAAGATAAAAATATAAATCATATATTATAAATGAAAAATTCGTATATAATAAAAAATTATAATAAATAATAATAATAATAAAATAGTAATTAAAAAATTAAAAAACAAAAAACAAAGTTATAAAAAAATGAAAGCAATTTTTAGGTAATCCAAAAATAAAGAAATTAAAAATATTTTATTACAAAATAAAATAATCAATTATTATTGAATTTTGTACTTAATATAAAATATTATGTATATGTTATGTATATGAATTATAAAGAATGAAAACATAAGAAAAAAAAAAATATATATATATATGTTTATTATATATCAAAATTAAAATATTTTCAGAAAAAAAAAAAAATATTTAAATTTTTTTTCTTCATTTACAAATTGAATAATTTTTTTCAGATTTTGATTTTTCAACTTAACACGAAATGCATTCAGTGGAAATTTCCAAAAAACCTATGATATTCTTACATAGAAATTACAATTTTTCAGTATAGCGTAATTTCAGAATGATTATTTGAAAATAATTTACAGCATTTTTCTTATTTTATTTTATTAATGAGAAGTTTACAATTTCCATATTAATTATAACTACAAAATTTACCTAGAATGGGGAATTTTCCTAGAATTTACAAATTTCTATCAACTTAAAAAATTAAAATAACTTTAAAATTAATATTTTGGTTTTAAATTTTTGTAATATTTTTCGTTAACATTGAAAATTGAAAAGGCATAGGATTAAAACCAAATAAATTTAATGTTGAAATAAAAACTCTTCAAACAATTCATATGAATTTTAAATAATTGGAAGAACTTTATCTTGTTTTTTTTTATAATAAATGCAACCGAAATAGAATAAAATTATTTTTTTCATATGGTTGATCAAGATACCATGAATATAAGAAGTTAAACTATTTTAAATTAGAAAATTTAAGGGACAAAAAATCGAAATTATATAGGGATAAATTTTAAATAAAATGGAATCTTCTTCCTATAGTAATAAAAAGAAATCTCCTCTGCAATGTTTCGTGTTAATAGTTAAGGGAGATACGCTTTGGTAGTTAAAGTAAATTATTTTGAAGGGAAAACTGACAAATAAAAACGGAATTTTTTTAGTCGAAAAAGAGTTCTAAATAATTCATAACAAATCTGTAGGAGAGTAAAATAAATATTTCTTGTTTTGTACCTTAATAAATTTCTACAGCGTTATTATATTTCTACGCAAACAGATGGGTAATTTCTAAAAAATATTTTAATGTCAATCAGAAATTAGTTGACATAACTAAATTTTGAGTACAAATAAAAAATTGCATTGCAATTTGTTTCGTATTAAATAAAACTTAATAAAATCCAATTATTCCTATCCAATAATTTTATGTTCACGTAATTAAAATAAATTCAAAAGTTCATAATTTTGCTTGAAATTTTGTATATTTTTTTTTTTTGTAATTTATCAAAACCGCAGCTGGAAGTTTCCATTTTCCTATTTCAAGTAATATTCCCCCCTTTAAGATCCGTTATTCACTGTACAATAAAGGTAAAAATATGCACGCTGTTATGTACCTATGTAAATCTTAAGATGGTAAATTTTTTTTTTTCCATTTGGACGATAAGATTTCTTAATTTCTTATCGATTTAGTAGTTAAAAACAAAAAAAAAGGGAAAAAGCAAAAAAAGAATATTGTGGGTGCAAAAAAGGAAATCGAAGATAAAAATGATTGAAAAGTTTTTTGTTTTTTGTTTATAAAAAAAAAATTGCCGCATAAAAATTGGAAAATAACACAACACGATGTTAAAAAGAGAAATTAAAACATGAATTTTTTTTAATTTTTTTTTTGTTTTAAACTCAATTTATAATGCCCGTAGATAAACAGCAAACTCATTTTAACTAGTTTTAATTTTTTATTTTCTTCTTAATATTTTAATAGCAAATACATGTGTCTTCATTTTTACAAGTATATTTTTTTTTTTCGAGTAAATTAAATATTGTTTTACAAAAATTCATAATTCGTTTATAATGTAAAATTTAAGAGGTCAAAAACCACAACAGCTTTAAAAAAATTCACAAATTCATATATAATATTTCGGATAATTTAGTTGTTTTTCATTAATTATTGCGCGTACCGATGTTTTAAATTCTGAGTTTGAAAAACTGGTAATAATTTTTTAATAAAGTACAACAATGGGTTAATTTAAAATACGTATTCATTAAACTACTTTGGCAAAAGTTAGACAAGTGAACCTTAATGATTGTCATGGTCGATATTATTTCTTAATTGTTTTGAAGGAATTTTTTAAACCATGCCTATAATTTGTTTTTCTATTTAAATTTTCAATATATAATTAATTCCTTGATCGACGTCATAGTCTCTCTCTCTCATCTTGTATGTTATATTGCATATATTGCGGTAATCGAATGTTAACAAAAATTGACAGTCTCTTTTACTATTATCCGAAATATAGTTCTAAAATTCATGTGTAAAGCATATTTTCTCATCATTTTATGACGTGCTGTCATACAAAAAAAAGCCTATATAAATTATATTTTATACACGAAAATAAACGAGTACTTCCGAACTGCAAATTATTATAACTATTAATAATTATATATGTAGTTATTTCGGAAATTACAAAATGTTACCTTGCGATTTCCGAAAATGTAAAAAATTTGAGTAGTTTTAATTTGATTTCCAAAAATTTTTTTAATGAAAACGTGAAACAGATTGATAACATCACTTGATATTTGTCTATTTCATGTATTAAATTTAATTTAGAATTGTTTTTTTTTTTTTCCTTCTAAGACCAATGATTGGTGTTAATTGTTTAATATAGTAAGTATATAAAATGAGTTGCCATAAATCATAAAATTTATTAATAAATTTAAAATTTTTTTTTTTTTACAAATGAAAATAAGGTGTTTTCGTTTATTCAGTTCTAGAATAGTTCTAGCTTGTAGTATATTTGAAAATTCACGCTACATGTACTGAAAATATAGATCGATCGGAAATTACTAGAATAAAGTGCGAATGCAGTAAAGCGCGAATGCAATAAAGTGCGTTCGGAAATTCAAGCTGCAATAAAGAAATGTTAGAAATATATAGCGCAAACCTTTAGTATGAATTTTGTCGCTGCCTTATGAAATTTCTTGTTTTTTTTTTTAAATTTAAAATTCAAAAACAAATTGAAATTTCAAAATGGCAGATTCCGATATTGAAGGTTTATTAAAGTAATTTTTCTTTAAGTCTTTAAATTTTGTTAAAATTTTCGTATTTTGCAGTGAATTGGAAGGCGAAAAGTATTGGAATACAATTTCATAAATAATGTGATTTCTCAATTTCTGTTATTTATTTTTACTGATTATTTAGAAGTTTCAGAATTTGTAGACTGCGTAAACGAAAAAAAAAAACTGAGCGAAAATTTTTGCATACTGTTTAACGTTGCGCGACTTTTAGAAATTTTAGTTCTAATGTAGAACTTTCAGTGTAGCGTGCATAAACGAAAACCCGCAATATTTCAAGAATTCTCTTCAGTATGTTCAAAAATCATTTTTAATTTATTCAGTGGAAATAATAAGGAAACGTTTGTTTCTTGCAAATTTGTGTACATTCATACTTGCTTATGTATGTATGCATGTACCTAAATAAATATAACATGTAAATTAACACAAAATTAGTAAACAAAAATTTTTTTTTGAAAATTTTTTAAAAAATTAATATATACCTTAGAATTCGTAAGTTAAATTGTGTTTCTTGTCAATTTTTTTTTTAATTTTTTTTTTTTAGTATTTATGTATGGTACTTTTTTAAGAGTTTCGGTTTTAGGTTATTAAAGAAATTTTAATTTTTTTTTTATTTGTAACAAAAAATGTCAAGTTGTTGACGTTAAAAATATGATGAATGGGGTATCTAGTTTTTTTGTAATTTAACAGAAAAACAGAAATAAAAAAGAAAATAACAAAAAACCTTCATATTTTAACAATACAATAAAAATTAAATAATACAAAAAAGAAATTGTTAATTTCAAAGAAAATGAGAGAAAAAGTAAAATAAATGAAAACCAGTAAAAAAAAAAAATGAATAAATTTTAACTACTTTTTTTTTTTTAATTGTCTTGTTATTTTTTTTCTATTTAATTTTTATTTTAATTCTAGTATGTACTTGCAATTTTTTATTCTCTCTCTTTTTGAAATTAAAAAAAAAAACATGTATTTTAAGATGGATATGTGAGATGTAGATATTAATTTGGATAGTTTTAACACATAAAGAAAAAAAAAAAACAATTTTTATATTTTATCTCCGATTTATTCTTATGGCTTTTACCAATGAAATATTTTATTAACCGTGACCGTAAATGTTATATTATATAGTATGTAGATATTAAAAATTTTATGGTAATGTAAGTGGCACAACACATATTATTACGTTGGTTTATAGTTGAAAAATTCATTTATGAAATTCATTTCTAATTTTTCTATTCGATAATATTCTTAGTACTTTTACAAAAAAAATTTTTTGAATAAAAGTACTTATCAGTTTCACTCTGTACGGCCGTCCGTCCGTGAACATTTTTACAAAACTCCTACACCGTTGTGTGGAAATCTGAAATTTTATATGTACACAGATCATTACTAGAAGCTTATTTCTGTAGAATAAAATTTTTACATATCTCCTCCCCTCCAAAAGTTATACCTCCCCACAACTCTAAAAATGCCATTTTTAAACTATTTA